CCAATCACCGTGGTGTCATCTGCAAACTTGATGATGGAGTTGGATCCATGCATAGGCCTGCAGTCGTGGGTGTAGAGGGAGTAGAGGAATGGGCTCAGCACACAGCCCTGTGGTACGCCGGTGTTGAGTGTGATGGTGGTGGAGCAGGTGTGACCTGACCTAACATGCTGAGGCCTGTTGGTCAGAAATTCCATAATCCAGTTGCAGAGGGAGGTGTTAATGCCCAGGTCTCCAAGTTTAGTGGTCAGCTTGGAGGGAATGACAGTGTTAAATGCTAAGCTGAAGTCAGCAAACAACATCTGTACATATGTGTTGTTATTGTCCAAGTGTGTGAGTACCGAGTGCAGCACTGTGCATACTGCATCCTCTGTGCTCCTATTGCTACGGTAGGCAAATTGGTGTGGGTCCAGTGTGGGTGGGAGGCAGTTCTTAAGGTGAACTAGGACCAGTCGCTCAAAGCACTTCATAACAATAGGTGTGAGTGCTGCGGTGCGGTAGTCATTCAGGCACGTCGGGGAGGAGTGTTTTGGCACTGGCACAATGGATGTGGACTTAAAGCATGTTGGCACAGTTGCTTGGGTGAGGGACAGGTTGAAAATGTCTGTGAAGACCCCTGCGAGCTGCTCTGCACATGTCCTAAGCACAGGTCCAGGAATGCCGTCGGGGCCAGCAGCCTTGCATGCGTTGATCTGGCTCAATGCGGTGTAGACATGACCCCTGCGAGCTGCTCTGCACATGTCCTAAGCACAGGTCCAGGAATGCCGTCGGGGCCAGCAGCCTTGCATGCGTTGATCTGATAATATAATATAATATAATATAATATAATATAATATAATATAGTCTTGTATTTTTATCGATGGTTTTATTCTTACATTATATTTAAGGACTTTGTAGCTATTTGAAGACTTTTATTTTGTTTATTCGTAAGCTACGGGAGGAGTAGTCACGTGACATAACAAAAATTCGGCTGTCATATGTTTGCAGTTTCATTTTCATCATGGCTGCTCTCTACATCAGTTTTCTGTTCCAGCTGCTCTTCTGTCTTGTGTTTTCTTTACCCACGGGACGAAACTCCATATGCGGTTATAAGGTGAGTTTTGTTTTAATGTGTGAATATTTTTAAGTTCTTCGTTGTAGGACCTTTGAGAAAGATTTGACTAAATGTAAAAAAAAATGAACACTGAGGGAAATAATATACAATAAGAAAAACTTACCAAAAGTACCTTGGCATTAATACTATTAATTATTTTTGCACTTGATGTCACTACATTACCATAGTGTTTTATAGCATGTTTTTGTACAAAAGTAGATGTTAAATGTAACTCTCTGCAACAATGCATGTTGTGTTGTGTTGTAAAGCAGTGAAGTCAGTGCTGAACAGTGAGCAGATATTAGCTGTTTTTATATGATGAAATAATGAACTGTCCTGATTACATCCAAAGAGAATGACTAAATGTAAAAGTAAGTAAAAAGGAAATGATTGTAGAATGAGGAAGTAAAACTCATTATTGTTGTATCTCTCCACTGATATGGATCTCTGCAGTCATGTCCAGCCACAAAGCCTTCCATGCTGAATGTCCATCTGGTTCCTCACACACATGATGATGTTGGCTGGCTCAAGACTGTGGATCAATACTACCATGGAGGTGAAGCTTTGTTCATGTCTGACTTGAAAGTGTTTGTTTGTAGCTTTCATTGGTATGTACAGTAGTAGATCACATTCTTCATGTGACTGTCGTATGATTTATGTCTTGCTTGTCATATGATAGTGGCAATGCATTGGAGTGTTAAAACTTAATGTTTAACCTCACAACATTTTGTTGCTGTCAGGCTGGTTCAGGTGTGTAAATAAAACACAAAGCTCAGTTTTTTTTATTCCAGTCATTGTGTTTTCCAGACCGAAACAATATCCAGCACGCAGGAGTTCAGTATATTTTGGACTCGGTAATAGACCAGCTACAGAAGGATCCAGCCCGACGGTTCATCTACGTAGAGACGGCCTTCTTTTACCGCTGGTGGAGGCAACAGAGCCAGAACACACGGCGAATTGTAACACAGCTGGTCAATGAGGGTGAGGAGGGTATTTGTTTTTAAGTCTGAGATGATAAAAAGTATAAAAATTAAACACTTTTTTTATATATATACATTTTAGGTTTTTTTTTTATATAGTTATTTTCCATTATTTTACCAATTTCAAGCTGTCTGAGACAATAAAGAATACAAAATGAATAAATATATATACAAAAATGATTGGAACACATTTTTACAAAAATGACGCTAAAATTAATGCTAAATTGAATTGCGCTAAAAATGTGAAGTGACGTAAGAAGTTCTAAAATACTTTGCTTACACCCTGAAACTTTATAATTATTTTCATCAAAGTAGAAAATATTTTTCCCAAATATCATGAATTTTATGAATTTCTTTATCGTTTTTCATAGGTCGTCTTGAGTTTATAAATGGTGGCTGGTGCATGAGTGACGAGGCCACCACGCACTACAGCGCAGTCATAGATCAGATGACTCTGGGGCTGCGATTCCTGAATGACACCTTTGGTGAATGCGGTCGTCCCCGGGTGGCCTGGCACATCGACCCGTTTGGACACGCCCGAGAACATGCCTCCATCTTTGCTCAGGTAGCCATGGCACATTATTTTTGACTGGTGTGAATATGGTGTGGCATAGTGATGCTGATGTCTCTTGATTTGTTTACAGATGGGCTATGATGGTTTCTTCTTTGGCCGGTTGGATTATCAGGACAAAGCTCGCAGAATGAAGACCAAAGAGATGGAAATGCTCTGGAGGGCCAGTGAAAGCCTGACGCCGCCTCTTGCTGATCTTTTCACGGGTACTAATATGTAAACATGCGGCTTTTTGCTCTCTGATAATTCAAATTCAGTTTTTCAAATTCTCCCATAGTGCAGGATCAACACTTACTGTTCTTTGATGAGTTGTAGAAACTCTCCTGTTGAATATTATATTTAAAAACCATTCAAAGTCAGTCAGTAAGATTAAATTGATCTTACAGACCTCAAACTTGATGTATTTTTAGCCATAACCTTATATCTTTCATCTCTAAAGGTGTTCTTCCGAATGGCTATAACCCACCTGAGGGCTTCTGCTGGGACCAGTCATGTAATGATGCTCCCATAAGAGACGACCCAGACCTTGAGGACTACAATGTGGATGAGATAGTACAGAGGTTTTTGAATGTTTCCTATAACCAGGTATTTCAACAGTATTGCAGCAGTACTCAGTTCAGTCAATCATACATAAAGCTCATGTGAGATTTCTGTTCCCAGGCTGCCTTTTATAAGACAAACCACATCATTATGACCATGGGTTCAGACTTCCAGTATGAGAATGCCAAT